TTCCCTAGAAATCTACAGGTAAACAAAAAAAAAAAAGAGACCAGTGCAACACTGCATCTTCTCAGGATCTGGAAGAGTAACAGGCTGGAGCCTTGAGTTTTGGCTGTAGGAATGAACACGGGCTCTGAGCTATGTCACCATTTCTTCATTCTAAATCTACTATTAGGAGTAGGCTGAATATTGGATGTTCAGCAACTCAGCTGCATGACTCCTGTAGACTGTTATTTTTATTCCTATTCATAATTCTTCTGTTCAAAGTACTTGAGCTATTTTGAGGAAAGGCTCTATGAATAGGGAATATAAATAGCTTAATTACGGTTTGTTTTGCATTTCTTGCCACTAGAAAACAATTGTTCTCAAAAAAATCAGAAATTACTTTAAAGCTAAAACAAGCTGCTCTGTTTTGGAGCCTGTACTGGTTTCCCTGATGATTCTGAAATGCAAATAGGAATTTTAAGCACCATGAAATGTGGGTACTTTCACACACCCTATTGAGTAAATTGCTTTCTTTGAATTGTTTGAATAGTGAGATGCACAGAAAATGAGCATCCTGGAAAATATCAGGTAAAATGGCAGAAAACACTTTATCAACACTTTAAAAGATAAAATGCAAATTTTATGTACTCTGACTTAGTAGATAAATGTGCCTTATTTTCTCCTCTTATGGAAAGACATGTGTGTTTGTGTAATATGCAGCTCTAGACTGAGCCACTTGCGATTGCACTGGACAACTGTTCAGATGACACTGGAATTTGTATGGGATGCTTTAACATAGGTGCCATTCTGCAAGGTAGCAAACTCTGATCCTGCACAGGCACAGTACTTTAAACTCTTTAAACTCTACCTTAGTTTACCTCTAAGTACCAGCTGAAAAGCTTGGTAGGATCAGAGCCGGAGTACTTGGCATCTTGCAAAAAAAATCCAAGCAGCCTTTTGTCCTTGCAGAATATTCACTATTTGCATTAGAGAGGGCAGAACTGGGTATCTCGGCTTCTGATGAGCTGAGTACCAACAGCAAAGGAATGATCAGCCTGCCCTTCCCTTGCCTTCTAATCGTGTTCTCCGAAGCATTTGCTGCCAGCTGCTGTTGGAAAAAAATAATGGTGGAATAGATGCCTGGCCTGGCCTGTAAGGTTATTTATGACTTCTTCCCTTCACCTCAGCGCCGGGTTTGCTTGCTCTGAAGTGTTTATGTGGTGGATAGTGCATTTATAAGAAGCACTCAGCTTGCTGTCAGTGTTTTGGTTGAACTCCTATGACTGTTTAAGACTTCTTTTTTCTTTATTTCAATGCAAATTCTGGTCCCGCCCATTAATTAACACTTGGCCCCAAACAGATACAGGACTTTTGAGTATGGGAAGCTTTACTTCAGTTTTGAATAAAATCACTTGGATCTGGAGGAGCTGGTAAGAGAGAGAAGGTGAATACATAATTCATTTAAGGAATCGAGTGATTCCTTTTCCTCTTTTGCTTTGCTTCCCTGATGATAAATTTTCCTCCTTAACACGTCGTAATGGGAGTTCTTCTGAATTACGTTCTGCTTAACTCCTCATCTTCAGCAAAAACCCACAATGTTTAGTCTCTGATCCCAAGGACTAACTTCATGTGAATTGCAGGTGCCATGAGTTGGCAATGCTAGTTAATGACAACAGATGCAGTTGCCTTCTAAACAAAAGAACAGTGCTGGGCCCCTGGTTATTCACTTTCTGACCTACAAATTCTTCCACCTTCTCCTAACTCCATTTAACACAGTGTGTGCTGCTTGTTAAGTCCCAGTCCTAAATCTAAAGCTGTTACATATTCTGGTATTGCTGTCAGTTTTTAGTGGAAGCCCTGGTGAAGCTCAAGGCTGAGGAGAACCAGTCCTGCATGAAACAGACCTTCCATTACACAGTATTGACAACAAAAATACAACAGAGATATGGTACAGAGATTTTTTTTTTTTTTAAATCTGTTATTTCAATGGCAGGGAAAAAGAAGTCAACTGGAGTAGAAGGTTGTGTCTAAGTACTAGAGCACAGTCATCTCCCTTAGTCCCGGACCCGCAGAACTACCCAGGTGGTTTGTTTGGCTTATGTTGTCCTATGCGCTGGCTATTACCTCCCTCCGCTCTCCCTCCCCTGCTATTCTGTTTCCCAGAGGCTTGAATGAGAGGGGTTACCACGAGCAGCTGCAGCAACAGCACCAACAAAAGCAGCAGGCATTGGACCCTCGATTTCCTGTGCTGTGCTGAGCCTGTGCAGCGCCTGGGGTCTCCTGGGTCGTAGACATCTGCCGTTTGCGCATCTCCATCCGCTCTGATCCCATGGGCTGCAAGACAGCAAGAGAAGGGGGAAGTAAGAAACATTACTCTTGTTATTTTTTTCCCTTTATTTGCTTTAAAAGTCTTACCAAGAACTGCTGAAGGCCACAGCTCCAAAGGAACTGAAAAGCTAAATGCTTGGGTTTTCCCCACAGCTCTTATGTGTTGAATCCTTTGGAATATTCACTCATTTTATTTAAGTGCTGTGATGGAAGTCAAGTGGCTAATGAATTCTGCACATGGGTGGGAATACAAAGAGAGTGGTGATGGAGAGAGGAAAAGGTGGAAATGAGGGGTCTCAGAGAGCTGCAGCTCTTTGGACATATATATGCCTATATAATGTGGTATATAAGCCTAGGAGCTGAAAAGGATTTCCTGAGGTTTTGACTTCAAGGTCAGTCCCAAAGAAAAGGTTATAGAATTGAGGTAGTTGGAGCCTCTTTCCCCCCCTCCCCTTTCTTTCCTTTCTGTCTTTCTCTTGATTAGCCAACGCACAGACTTAGTGATGCTTCAGTGAGACACCTGAGCTCTCTTGAAAATCTGGCCTTTGGTGAGTATTGAGGATGTCTCAAACCTGCTGGCTGCCCTGTAGCAAAGGGGAAGGGCCAGTGCTTATCTGTCCACTGTAGGTCTGACTGCCACAGTATTTTTAAATGTTTTTCTCTCGAGGGAATCAAGTGCTGCTTTGAAGATGAAGAATTACTTGTGGAGAAAACACATGACTATACAGCATTAAGATTTAACATCCAGGTTTTTGATCGCCTCCCCCGACTGAAGACAGCACGAAACAATTTTTGGTAGAAGCACTGGTGGTGGTTTTTGCACTGGTCTGGGAAACCTTTTTGGAGCCCGAATTCGGCAGATTGTGCAGGGAAGTGGTATTAATGAAATGACAAGTCCCCTTGAAGTCCCTGTCCCTTTCTGACCTATCTCTCTCTGAGCTTCAAACTTGCTCTACAGCACTTAATAAGGCTCTGTTATGCTGAGGGTTGTGCCATATCGAAGTGACAGATGTAGACTAAATATAGATAGATATAGATGAAATATAGATGAAACGCCAGCTTGTACCAAGATGAGTACGTCTTTCTTCATTTTGATTGTATTTGATTTTGGGATACATAAATAGTCATCTTCCTGTGTCACAAGATCCCTTTGTGTGTAGGTTTTTTCAGGTTGCTAAACCTTTTGAGGCCATGACAATTGTAGGGGAACTAAAATGAGCTGCTCAAAGATTTTGAGTTCTTTGTTTCAAGTCTGCTATTAAATTATCAGTAAAAAATCTGATGATCCAAATACTGGAGGGTTAAAAGTGCCTTCCTTTCTAAAATGTTTAGCCAGGTTTAGGAAATACTGTTCTTGTAACTTGGGGGAGAATGCACAGACAATGTCACGGACTCGAGGGGTGTCAGAAGAAAGGAGATTATTTTAGCAGAGTGCAGCATTAAATTGTGCTGGATTTTTTTCTGCTGAATTTGTTTCTCTCTTATAGAGCTTAATAGTTTTTGTTTTTGTGAGAACCACCCACTCTCCCAAGAGCAAAATGCATGACATGCTGAGCAGAAGATGCACCTGTTTTGCAGGAGGAATAAAATATAAGAACAACAGTACAGATAGAAATGATAACCCATTTTGTAACTCTGTAGACCTAATCTGACAAGCAATACCTACATGTCCAGAAATAGAAAATCAGAAAAAGAACATAGCTTCCAAAAACCCACAACCTTTCTCGTTTCAAAATGTGGAAGAATAACTGTGAAATGTAGAATACATTTGTAGATTCAGGTTTCTTTCCTTCAGAGTTTCAAATTCATAGGAATAGAACGAACCCCTCAGTATTAATTTCCTTCCAGATACCTATACTTCTTAAAATAAAGCATCTTCATATGTTGATTAGGAAGTGATTGCAAATAAAGCATTATTGGAATGATAATACATCTAACAATATTTCAGGCTTCTTTGGACAGTAAACAATTGTTATTGATTAGAAAAGTGTAGCTTGGATTCAGATATGTGCAGTTTATACAGCCTAATCCATCCAGCCTTACTTCTGTTTTATGTGGCTAGTTCACACATTCGTACCTCTAATCCGTATTACAATTGAACTGACAGTGGTCTGGGCGGAAAAGCTGGTTCCTGTTTGTTTTTTTCCAAGGACAAAGGTAAAGGACGGTGGAAATAGGAGGAATACACTCTTCCTCCCCATCTCATCCCGCTGTGGCTTTAATTCAAAACGTCTTTCTGGATTCACTGTTACCATTTTGGGTGGTTCTTCAGAATTGTTCTTTGAGATCTTTAATGCAAGGGAAGAGTAAGTGAGTAGCTGTACGGCAAAAACTGCCCAGCAGCATTACGTTCTCTGTTTCACTTGTGAATCATATACCTTAGAAGTTTTCTGGTACGATAGGTTTTTATGAATGTTCATCGTTGCATGATTTCTCACACAGTTTACGGAAAATTGAAGGATTGAGCAACACAAAAATTCAAGACACGTTTTTTCAGATTAAATGATGCATTTTCATTTTTATTTGGCAGATGTATACAAATTTTCTTATCGAATAAGCAAGTAGTTTTTGGTCATTTATGCGATGAAGATTTGTTTTGAAAGCTATTTTTAGCAGCTAAAGCATGCTTTCATGATAGCAGAGCTCTATTAGAGTAATGGAAATAAGAGGAAGAGGACTGGACTATATCTGTCGGCTTAAAGACAGCCCAAGCTTTTGAATTACAGAGCTGTTCAGCAATTATCATGCATGTATTTCCTGTGGCAATTGACAGTCATATTGTACATTCAGTAGAGGTTTGGAGTGGATCACAAACTAGTTAGGATGTGACTTTCAGCAGTGTATTAGCAGGAATATTGTGGTAAGATACAGGAAGTATCGTGCTCCTCTGTGCAAGTACTACGGGTATCGCATTCCAAGAAAGATAGAGCATCTATCTAAACATCTAACGATGTTTACACAGATAAATTGTAGGAGTTTGGGTTGTTAATCTAGAAAGGGGATCTGAGAAGCATGTTGATCTTCTGGTCAGTAAAAGGTTATGATGTTCTATTGCTCTCTATTCCTTTCAGAGATAAATAATGAGTTAGCTTGGGCGAAATAAAATCTAGGCTCGATTTTACAGCATAGCAAGGTAAGCTGAGTAGTGGTGCAGGTTATTACAAGGTTGTAGAAACTCCTTTGGCATAGATAGTATTAAGACCCATAAGACAAAAACGTATCAGGCTGGTCCAGGTTCACAGAACAAGCAATGAGTAAGTCCATCCCAGCATTGTTTTTCTAACTTCATTCTTCCCTGCCTTTTTATTTTATTTTATTTTTAATGCAGCTCTGGCTCTAAACCAAACTGTCATTAAGCACATTGTTCTATATACCCTTCTACCTGGACCAACTCCCTTTGGCCACATAAGAATGATTAATCTGCAGAAGTAGATGTCTTACATTAAAGGTCTAGGCTTTTGTGGTTCATCCTCTAACCCGAATTGCAAAATAAAGTTAAAATGTTCATGTTTGCAGCACAACTTGTTGCAAATGTATATCCCAATCGTGATTGTGCTGAGACTGTGTAATGCCAGACATGAGGCCTGAACGCACAGTAAGACATAGGCTCTGCCTAAAAGATATGTCATAATTTCATATGTATATTCATGGCTTTATACTGGCTTTCTAGATTTCTATGGTTTTTTAAAAAAAGATGCGATTAAAACAAAAAAAGGTAAACCAGGGAAACACAAACCCTGCAATTTTGCAGCTGTGCATGGTGCTACAAGAAGTTTACCACGAGGTCCCTATCTGCTGCTTTTGCTCTCCCATAAACTGCTCCTTGGCTGGAATAGAGGCAAAGGCACAGACACTGAGTTTGTGCAAGTCATCTAAGGATTAATTTTCAAAGAAAAGTACCTTGAAAAGCATTGAGACTATCCAAGTATGACTGTACACGAGGAAGTATAATGATCATGGAAGGCATATGGAAAAAAAGTCATAGAGACGAAGCAAGTTGTCGGAGATCACGCGGTGAGCTAATGACAGAGCCACTAAGGGGATGCGAACAGAAAAGCCTTATTTTATGCCTGTAGTTGTTTTTCTGCTACCTCTAGTATATTCCAAATTTCACTATGGATCATCGAAGTTCTCCATCACACTTTGCTGCTTCTTGCTGCAGGCACCATAGCTGGGCAACGAGCCTTTCCAGACAACCGCTCAAATTGCTGTTTTGAGTTGTGCTGTGTGCAGGAATGGACAGTAGATTTATCAACAACTCCAGTGAATATTATTTGTAGGAATTTACAAAATTCCTTGCTTCTTTACAGTACGACCCACATTAGCAACAATTTAAACAATTGCTTGACTGACTTGCAGATCTGTGGGAGTGGAGGTGGCTGGTTTTTTGCCCTCAGTAGACTTCAGGTGCTCGGGGCGAAAAGGAGAGCGGTTTTTTTAGACCTCCCAATAAAAAGGTCTTCTGTTCATATAATGTTATGGTTGTTAATTTGGGACATCAGATGGTCTGACTGGGTCATGCAGTAGCTGTAAAACCAATAAGAAAAATCTAGTGCCTGTGTTCTTTGCATCAATGATGAGACTAACAGTACGTATTGGTTGAAGAATTATTCACCTGTGGATCCTACTGCTGTAGTGCATGGTACCAGCGCTTGGTGACCTCTTCAAGTTTATTATCCCACAGTATTAAGCCGAGGAGCCTCAACTCCTGTAATCAAAAGCAGTGGAAGTGTGACTGCTAACTTTGCAAGAGGGCTTTCCTTATTTTCTAGACTGACACTGTGGCTGATCAGGTTGTTTTGATAATGAAAAATCTGAATCATCAACAGCATTTTGAGCTAATCGCTTACCTTAACGTTGTTAAAGGGAATGACATGTTGATACTTAATGTTTAGCTAAATATTTTTCTTTCCCTGTCCTAGCTGAGAATACATTCGGCAGACCCACAGGTGGTGGAGCGGGGAAGTAGGATAAGAGGCACATGGGTATCGCTCCCCCGCCGGCTGCTGCATTTCATAAGTAGCATA